GATCAGTTAACAAAGTGGATAAATGTGACAAGAGACAGTTTTTTTTAAATGTATCTTTTGTTTGTGCTCAGAATGGAAGCAGAAAAAATCTCTGACTTTAATTATTCAGTTCCAAATAAACCTGGACTCTACATTTCCCTGGAGCCTGCAACACAGCATGACTCCAAATGATGATATGAAACATGCAGTTTGTAATGCACATTTTCTGTTTTAATTGCATTAAGGTTCTGCCATAATGTGGGGGATACATTTTAAATCAAATATAACACAATGAAAGTTTTATTTTTATTCCGGCTAATTGATGCTGGGATGTTTTGGTTCAACGCTGTGTATCCTAAGCTAAGCAAACTCCTTTCTTTCATGTGGTCATCAAAAAAACTGCTCTGCCTTAATTTTAGTAGTAGTGAAGCAATGCCAAATACAACTCAGCTAAATTTATAAAACTCTTTGTATGCTTAAGATGACTAAATCTGATGTGGAATCTCTTTAAATGTCTGTATTTTTAGGTAAACAAATTCCACCCCTGGAAAATTCTGAGGTGGACAGCAATGATTCCTTTAAACTCACACGACAGCCTGCTCCATCCACCAGGAGGTGCTGCTAGTACCAGCAGCGGCTGATAAGATTACTTCCTTCCGCACTAAGGACCCACCAGCACAGCAATCCACACGGCGTCTTACCCTAGTGACAGCACAGTGAGCAGACTGAAGTTGGCCTGCACGTGTGGTTGATTGCAACATGAAACAGAAAAACCTGCCAGCAGTATTATATGCGTCAATCCACCAGTTTTAACATGCATGTTTATTTAATTTATTCCTAGCAGTTTCAGATCTGCTGAAGTCGTGAAGCAGAAAGCCTTCAGTTTGTCCCCCTCAGGTGGTGTTCTGGTGGAACTACTGTGTGGTGTGATACATACAGAAGCTCATTCTAAATTTCAACTCATTTTATACTCTGACTTTAAAATTGAGCACAAATTAAAAACAAGCGGAGCTGACGTGTTTTATAAAGACAGGAATTTAATAGTTGTTTTCATCACTCTCCTTCTCTGTAGACTATCATAGCACTGTGGCTCTTAAACACATTGAAATTCTTAATATCAATTTTTAGCAAGTCTAACTCCTCCACCCATGAAGCATTTGTGCACATGTGCCACATTTAAGTAAGAGGTCATTAAGAACAAACTCAGACGAGCATTTATCTCTGTAGCTCAAATGCGACAGGTTTACATTCCTCACATGTTTTTCACGCACATTTGCTTTAGAAAGGTTTTAACTGTAGTGCTGCAGTGGGAACAGCTTGAATCACAATTACAGCATGACACCCCCGGCTGAAACACTGTGACCAATGCTAGAACTGTTTACATAGTGATTTGTTAAAGATGTTTTCTACGTGCTGAAGTGTATTGAGATTTCATTGCAGGGAACGACTTTATACAGCTGCCAGTCGTGTTTTTGTTTTTTCATGCATTTTACCTGTAAAAGGGGGTCACTTTTGTATTGTTGATAAGAGACAAGAACTGCATGTATTTGACTTTAAACATGTGTGCAGCTGTTATATTGCATATACTAACCAAACTCTAAAGGAACTGTGGGAGCGCAGCCCTAACCGTTTAAACCGTTCATCATGCAGCACTTTGCATATTTACACAGTATCAGCTGGGAGTTGCTTTAATAGTAAAAATGTTAACTATTGCAGTTCTCCTTAACTTCAGCATACAGGAGAAATTATTTGAAGGAACATGAAAATTAATTACAATACTGACCAATTAGTTTTGCATTGTCATAGCTTACATTTGTAGTTTACATTTGTACTTGAGTTACTTATTTACATTATAACGTGTACAGTTTTTATCAACAGGTATGATGGGATAATAGAATCAAATGTTGACTTTGTAATGCCATAAATATAATGATATTTACTGCCCTATATATGGGAAAATATACCAGCCTTCATTCAGAAATCTTCTAGTCTGTGTGGCCTTGCTTATCTGAAAAACATACGGTGCATACCTTTAGGTATATGACGCAGTTTTTTAGCTCAGAGGTTAATTTGGAGCAAATGTGCAGCATGGGACTACAATCTTCCACTAAAATGCACCACTCAGTAATTGGCTTAAGATGAAAACTGAAATGAACTTAAGAGCTTCTTAGTACCAGATATAAACAAAGTTATATCAGCTGGAAGAGTTATGATTGAAAACAACCTTCATACAATGTAGACTGGATTTCTCAGTGCGCATTGTTTGGACCCCCTTTTGTGTGTTGAGATGGCGACACAAGTGCCTTTTGTATGTTTTTCTAAACAAAATGTATGACATGGCTAAAATGTGCATACTGTTAGAATTAACTACTCATGTCTGACCAAATATATACATAACACTGCCATTCCTTTACAGTCACACTCATACTGTATGCTGCAGTCATGCTTCTCTGTTTACTCTATAGACCAGATTAACATATGTATATTAATCAATGTAATAAAGAAGTAAAGATTCAATTTCTCTTCAAATTTTACTCTTTCCAATAATGAAATACTGAAGTGTCATCAAAGATCTCAAACACTGTCAAAGGATTACAAACTAAGCTGATGTCTGTACAGTTTCTCAGTCATCCAGTAGTCTAGAGAGCTTGAAAACAAAGAGGCAACTGAACTGATGATATTTAATCTATCAATCATCCAAGAGTCTTCTTCAGCTGTAAAAGTAAAAGGGGGTGAATCCCGCTTGTTGTCAAAGAAACTGGAGAATTTTAGCCAACAAGCTTGACATCCCAGAACACTTCAGATCCAGTGACACACTTGACAAAAGCTGGTTCATCCCAAAGACAAAACTCCCAAACACAAGCTAAGTATCATAGTGTTCTCACTGGAGAAAACAAACAGCTATTCCATAAATGCATGGCACAGCGTAGAAGAGCCACCTCGACAGGACAAGACTGAGCTACACATCTGCATCTAAAGGATAAAGGCCACTCTTTGAAGGATGCCAGAGTTCAAACTTTAGACTGAGAAGACAGACTGTTTGAAAGAGGAGTAAAACAGGCCATCTGTCCACTGATGTGGATCGTCATTGAACAGTGGCTTATGACACCAATGAGGTCTCGCAGTACTTTCACTTTTAACCACCCTTAAGGTGTTGGTAATGACCCATACCTTTCATTTTTAGAACCGAACAAGCCTGTTTTCTCAAGATCTCTAGACTTTTAAGTTTTGATAATAGGTAAATGAGTGAGAAAGATGCAGTCACTAAAAGAGGGTTGTATCATGACATTAACATCTTCACATTGTGAAAACACTATGCAGCCTCATTTAAACCTCCTTATACTGGAGTCATATGGAAATGACTGAACATGATACTGGTAGGGAAGGTATATTATGGAAAAACAAATGTCTGGCTTTTGCCTAAAAACCCCCAATATCACTATAGAACAACCTTTTATCTTTAACAGCAAGAAATGATCATTATTTCTGAACATGCACAAGCGTGACACTCTGAACTGCTTTAAACACCTCAAATCACATGTAGACTGCGTCCTATTCAGTACAGCTTACTGAGGAGAAGTCCTCAATTCCCATAAAAACGATGGATCACAGTTGTCAATGGTCTCTAAGAGAGCAAGCCTCAGATTTTAATACTTCACAATGAGTACACACACTGCACAAAATCGCTGGATTCCTCGCAAATAGCATCTTAAATTCCCCCTTTTAGCATTCCCCTTTTCATCTACGCTCACATGATGGCCCAAAATGTGTTAAGTTTCGTCTCTCGAATAAAAAAGTTTTTCTTTTTTAGAAAGAGTTCTCCTCAACCAGTTGGTGTTTTTCTGCACTGACTTCAGTATTAACTAAAAAAGAAACAGCTGCAGGAAGATTTTCGAACTAGTTAGGTTAGTTGGCAGTAGGTCACCAGTCTGTGTTCAAGCAGCACTGCATTAAAAACAGTCATGATTCTGTCATGGAAATCACTACGTGGGCTCAGGAACACTTCCAGAAATCACTGTCTGTGTCTGGGAATTAATGCTTGTGTAACTGGGAGCTCGCACACCTTTTTCCAGGTGGAAAAGCAATCATCACTGCTGAAAGGTATATACACTTTTTAGAGCAACATAAAGCTCCCATCCAGATGACGTCCTCTTTCAGGGAAAGCTTTGCATATTTCAGACTATGCTAATCTGATTACTGCCTTAGTAGGAAAAGAGTCCAGGTGCTGACCTGGCCTGCCTGTATATCAGACTTTTCACCAATGAAAAGCATTATAAGCATGATGAAATGAAAAGTAAAAACAAAGAAGAAGACCTGGAATTTTTGAGCAGCTAGAGTCATATATCAGACACGAACCAGACGACATTCATCTCCCAAAAGTCCTACAACTGGTCTCCAAATTTTTCCCAGAGGGATACAACTGTTGTTAAAAGTAGTGGTTAAAATCATGGTTTTATAAGATCACCAAATCTAAAATAGTCGAAATTTTGCATTGATGGAAAAAAAATCACTTCTGTGAAAATAAGATAATACTAAGGGACTATAGTCCCTTAGTATCTGTATACTCAGTATACTGTTATCAGTATACTGATTAAGTAATCTGTGGTTTAGTTTGATTGCACACATTGATTACGTCGTAAACAAACATCTTTAAAGGGTGACCACTCCGGTACTGTTACCAGGGCAACATATGACCCGTGCTACACGTCAACCTCAACATGCCCTTTAAACCACAAACAACACTTACATTTACGTTACATGTACGTTCACTAATACTTCTAACAGGTTTAACTAGACTACTGCAGAGTGAATTTACTGCGTTAATGTGCATGTATACACCGCAGACATGCGATTATCATACGTCCCTGATTAAAATTCTCGATTAAATCAATAAAGCACAATATAACTTAGTTCTGGATTTTATAAGATTATTTTATAACATGTTTTTCCTTCCCTGTACGTCTATTTCAGTGTCCACACATTATAACTCGTTTACTGTACCATAATCGCATCAGTTGCCAGACCACGAGTGCGCGCAACAGAGGGCTGTGCACTCGCGCGTTCAAGTATTTGTACCCACATGCTCGCTGAGCTCAGTCAGCGTTTGACTCAGTAGTGGCAGAAGGGATCCAGGATTTCCACTTGTTAGTAAACTCCACGATACCGAAATCAAGTGCATCCCTTCAGCCAACATGTCAAAGTTGGATCAGATCCTTATCCTCGACCCTCCGTCTGACCTCAAATTTAAAGGTATGTGAATGAAATATTATTTATTTACTTGTTGTCGTGTCAAATGTCCAGCGAGTAGTAGTGGTGGTGGTGAAGCAATGATTTCACACTCCCTCAAGCGAATTTCGTTGCTAGCAAGCTAGCTAGCATTCACCGCCATTTTAAGTTAGCCAGGGAGCCGGACGGGCCGCTGCAGCCTGGCGCTATAGTGACGTGGATAGCCGGGCAGGCGTGCACCCAGGTGGCCTGCTATTCAGTACCAGCTTACTGACAGTACCAGGCAAAGAGCTGGAAGGATGTGGCTGTCAGTGACTGCTTAAAAAAAAAGGAAAGTTAACGTCTACACGTTAAGAAGCATGTTTGTGTATGTCTTCACTTTTAATATCAGCTACTATGCTGTTGCTAGTTGTGTTAGCAGGAGTAAACTGTTGTTTCTTGTGGCTTAGGCTATTCCCTGGAAAGAAATTAATTTCAGAATGTAAAATCCGGCGTTCATCTTGATGCACCTGTGGCAGGAACTTGTGAAGCCAGTTAAAGTGACTGACAGTTGGAATGACAAACTTGGTTAGCTAACGTGAACTGTAACAACATGGATAGTTTATTTTTTTAATAGCAACACCAGGCTAACGTTAGTTCAGTTGACCTAAACCTATTAGCTAGATATTGGCTAATTTTAAGCGTGCGTTCGCATCCTGGACAAAACAGGACGGCACATTCATGGGAAAGCAGGGTACTTCGCGCATTCAGCACTGATTGCTTTTCCTGGTAGTGATAACGTCCAGTGATGTGTCAGTTAACAGTTGGCTAATGATAGCTTGGCTAGCCAGCTAATGCCAAAGTTGATGTGTAGCTGTGTAGTTGTATAACCGTGTTGTTTTGCGTCTGACAGACCTGAAGAGACCCATATCACATTTTTTAAAAGTCCTAGATAGAACATAACTTTTGGTCATTTGTGAGTCCAACTGTTGCTCTTGTGGGCAAGTGAATGAAGTGGCAGTAAACGGCGCTGATTTCAATGAAGCTAGCCCTCCCAGGCCATGGGTGACACAACAATCTCCACAGTTGGACTATTTATCCTCATCATTATTCATTTTGACCCAAAATTCCACACAGCACTTCTCGTATTTGTCCCAGTTACCAAGCTCTGTGCCTGCTGGAAGCATTTTTGCGAACTAGACAGTTATTTCTCTTTCTGTTGAATGTACCACTGTCCTGGACGAGGTTATAAGAGGACACTGCTGTTTGGACAAGGTGTGAATTGATACTGGTTGTAGTCTGACAGGATCATTAGGAAGGACACAAGCTCACATTCCAGACCCGCTGTGTCTGTGGGTGGGGTGTAATAATTAGAATGTTTTGGTGATGAGGTGTCCAGGGTGAAACTAAAAATTATTATTATTTTGCCTGTATTTGACGATGACACAGGTGAAATAAAGGCACCCCCCCCCTCTCATGTTAAAACTCTGAAACTCATAAAATTTGTGTACATTGATTAAAATCCAGGAATGTTTTTATCATGCAAGGTGCAACAGAAAGTGCGATGGTGAATGGAGCCTTTTCCAACAGGCTGACATTGTAATTGGACAGGGGTATGGATGTAAATCAGTAAAAACTTGCTCTGGCTTAAGTTTAAAGACATCTGGAAAAGGGTAGTAACCATGTGATTAAACTCACATTTGTTATGTCATAATAACAGCATCAAACAACAGGTTAATGGTGCTATTATGATAAAATTCTTCAATCATATGGTTGGAAAGCCACCAATAGTCCTATTTGTCTCGGACAGGTTGTTTTTTGGGAGCAACGAGGTAAACCAGAATAAATAGATGAAATTTTCTCCAGCTGAACATTAAAATTTCATGGGTATTTAGCCTGATGGTAGACACATGGTTCGTCATAATCTGATTATGGACCTCTACTTTTTACCCGATTAAGAAATTCTACTCTAATTTGACTTATTCCTGTTACTGATCAGTCACACGGTTTACATTTTCCCTCATCGGATTAAACTTTTGGCTTTTTATATTCTGGATTGGATGCAAAGCTAAATTGCATCAGTATGATGCTGTTCATACTGATCATTGTTTACTGATCATCATTGACTCGTTTTGTTCTTTAGCACAGAGGCCAAAATGTTTAATCCACTGCACATGTAAGAAAATCCCAATTTCTGGGTCATAAACCACATTCTAACAATTTGATATAAAATGTAAATTATAATGAAAATATGTTTATGTCCTTGGAGTAGAACCTGGAAGCATATTGTATGTTGTATATCAGGGTTTTGGTTGTATCAAAATAGTCCTTTTGTAGGGACTACATATGTTTATCACTCTGTCTTACTTAACAAGTCTGTGAACCTTCCTGTTATTTATGGCTATCTAATAAACAAAAGTGTATTTTATGCTGCGGTAAATTAAACCCTAGTTTAGAACATGTATGAGAATTCCAGTATAGTGGCCCATTTGCTTTCATACAAACCAGAGTTTTGTCATACTTTTAACCGGTCGTGTTTAGAGACTCAAGTCTTTATACCTGTTAAGCCCTTTGGCCACTTAACCTGTTATTGAACCAGCATCATATTAAATCTTACATTGGGGGGGAAAAAACCCCTCTAATCCCAAGTACTAAATCCCTAAAGAATGCATCACTTAAATTTGGGAGCTGTGTCTCCCCCCCTTGTTTTTGTGTTTTGTTTTGTTTTTACATTTTTGTATGGCCCACATTTAAGTGGCTTCGGTTTTTCATGTGAAGAAGCAATCTGAGGAGAAGGACGATGATCACAACTTCTTTACCTTCACAGAGACTGAGCTAAATCGGTCTGCATGTATTGGAAAGCTGGACTGTTTTAGAGCCTCTGCTGGGACTCCTCCAGCAAGCTAGAGGGGGCAGCCCTCCTTTCCTTGGTTGGTATTTTTAGAGCAGGACTGGCCTGGGGGACCCTAACTCAGCATACATGCAACAAGATGAGAGAGGTGCTGCTAATGCTGCTTGAGAAAAGGTGGCATCTCAGTGTTGGGCAGTGGATGCAAGCTGCAGTATGTGGGTGGGATATCTGATGCACACAACTGTTTTCCAGTTTTAGGCTTTGGTGTAGTAGTGATCATTGTGTAAAACGCACGGAAGGTAGAAATATTTTGGGCTCAGTTAATTTCCAGCTTATAGAAGCAGTTACTCATCTGTGCTAGTTTTCTGTTTAGGTCTATAAAATTAAAAAAAAGTCATGGTATTTACCTAGTCTTTCCAGCATCATAGTGCAAAAGCTAGTATAGCATAGTGCTGAAGCTATAATAGACATTGTTTCTGGTTCTCGTACTACTACAGGTAGGCTCTGTTTTGAACAACCTGGTATTGTTCTGTCAGGAAGCAAGTCATTCTTTATAACTCATCTGTGTAGCAAGAACAAAGATCCTTGAAGTACACGCCATTAACAATGAGGTTTTTCAAGTTTGTATGAAGGCATTTTGTGACTCACCTGTGATTTTTGAAAAGCAAAAAAAAGCCCCAGTAGGCACACAAGTGTACATTCTGGTATTAGCTGGGTGGAGCCATTCTGCTCTGGTCACGCATTCCTTCTTATCTTTCAGAGCATGAATCAAGGCTAAATGCTGACTTTGAACTCCAGAAATAAAGCCAACCTTTAGAACTTGTGGAAGTAGAAAGAATATTTCTGTTTCTTGGTTTGTTCTGATATTTTTAGAAGTGTGTTTAATAAAAAAATAAAAATAAAAATAATGCAGATATGGGGGAACTAGTTTGGATACCTATGTAAAATTTTTGTACTAGTAATTTAAATGATGAAAAGGGTGTATTTCAAATTTTGAAGCCTGGCAGCTATTGGGTAACAGGTTTTATTTATTGGTAATATATGACTCATTTAATATGTTAGGTTAGGTTGTTACCTAGGAAACCGTAACCTGAACCCGAGACCACCGTCAGCTTCAAAGTAATACACAACAAGCAGTTTGGTCCTTGTCTGGATGCAAGTTTGCGACTTGTAAAGCACAAGTTGTTAGCCAATGACCGTGCGGCATTAGATCCACCCTCCATCATTATGGCCAGGCTCAAAACACCAAAATAATCTGCTGAAAATCCTGAACTTGAAGCTCCATAAACAGTGGGTGACATCACTGTAGTAAAGCGCATCTTTTATACTTTTTGCATGCATGAAGATGTACACCTGTTAACAGAGCCCATAAAAATATTAAGTTGTAGCTGTGTCTAAATTCACAAATTTGGATATTTTGACATATGTTGCATCAGAATAATCATATGAGCTTGCAAATTATCTGGCAGGTAAACTCTATAAACATGATTTATAACATCCATGCTGTGCTCCCAGCTAACCAAACATCATGAGACATTGTCCAAGCTCCCAGCCTAATTGCGCTGATCGAGTTTGGGGTACCTCTGACTTGGCAAGAAGTGTGTGTGTGTGGTGTTATTATTATTTTTTTGGTCCAACATGATATGTTCAATCCGTGCTCGATAGTGCTGACCGTGGTTAAGGACCTAATTTAAAGCCAGTGGTGTCACAAGATGGTGGGCTGTTGTGCAACTTTTGATCTCCTGATACGTAACCAGTCAGCATCATCATGGGATGTCTATATGAAATTAGCTGTTTTGGAGACATGAAGGGTAATTGATTCAGGTGATCACTTGAGCGACATACAGGAAAAAGAGGTAATCTTTGATATCCCAAGCGAAACTGTGCTTTCATAGGTCGTTCCACCCCACCATCCGTATTGGATAGGCTATACAGTTATTAAAAAGAACAAAAAATAAGTAAAGATTCTTATTTTAACATCCCCCAAGGAGTGAATATTGGTCTTTCTCTCAAGGTTTCTTTGCCGTAACCTTGTATGTAACCTGACGTGCACCTCCTGAGAAATGTAACTACATGTTCGGTAGACACAGCCCGCAACATTAGTTGGACATAGATTTCTCGCAGAAGTCTAAATTAAGCTCATGTCTTCATAAAGCCTATGTTATAAGGAAGGATGTACAGATGACTCATCCTTGTTGACTGCCATCAGTTTATCGATTGGGTGTGAAAAGGAGCAGGAAGCCTAAAAAACTGTTTATTCAAGTAATAAAAATGATATGAAGATGTGTAATTCTCTAGCAAAAAGAGGGATTTAAAAAAACAAACAAAAAAACTTGCATTAAAATCTGTCCAGAATTTCACAGCTGATGGATTTCTAGTTGTTGTACTTGTGGCAAAACTACCCTACAGTGTAGCCTCAAGCCAAGAAACTTGCTATTCAATAAGGCTTCTTAATCATGTTGTTGTAATTGAGTTACATGTCAGTATTTTTCAGCTAATCCTTTTTAAATGTCTTTTTGAAGCTTGGCGCCAAAACGCAGCATGCCTCTCTGTCTTCCAGGGAGGAGGTGTAACCTGAAATATTGAATTTCTGAACTGCTGTGTAAACATGTAGCCATCTTCTTCAGTATTGTGGCTTTTTTTTTTAATCTAGCAGACTTACTGGGGGGAATAAAAGCTTAATTCTTGGAGTTTCAGTCATCTGTGAAGTTTTCAGAATTTTGGATTTGAACCATACACCAGTGTTGGAGACTGTGCTCTGAAATACAAAGCTAACGCTGCTTTTTTTTTGTTTTTTTTTTTTTGTGTTGTTTTCCAGGCCCTTTTACAGATGTAGTCACCACCAACCTCAAACTGAGGAACCCTTCTGACAGAAGAGTGTGTTTCAAAGTGAAAACGACAGCGCCACGTAGGTACTGCGTACGGCCAAACAGCGGCGTTATCGATCCTGGATCAAGCGTCAACATCTCTGGTAAGTTTTTATTTGTTAACTGTCTTTTTGCCGCCCATTTGAACATGTAGAGTCGGACTGAGTGTGAGCGAATAAAGGAAATGTTCAGTCATAGGTCAACAAGTTGGAGATTTCAGTTAGGGGGGAAAAAAGTCCAAGTGACCTATGCTGTTTTTACAATGATTTCTGTATGATGTTTTTCTCATGACCCTTAAGGCCACAAGCAATGAAGGTGTTCTGTATACAACAAGAGTTCCTTTAGCTTTAACTTCTTCAGGCTTTATCGTCTTCTCTGTCTACCTTTTGGAGTAGATCAAGTTGTGCCAGAGACCTTATCTCAGCAGTTTTCCTTTAAGCAAGTTGACATATCTAAGATGCTATACATTACTATATCTTTTGAATGCTGGTTTATCTTATGTTTGCTGATGACATTAAGGTAGCTTGGGTACCATCAGTTTGTTGTGTGTGTGTGTGGTTTTTTTTTTTGGTTGCTCCACAATTGTCCATTCAGGGTTGCCACTGGGGCCTAACAGAAATATTGGAGTTGAGATAAAACAAAACTTCTTATAATGAGGAATATTAACAGAACACATCTGAAAGCAACCCATATCAGCATCTTAATTGAAGTAATACATTACTCTGATTAGTGGTTATAATTTCATCTTTTTTGGTATGTAAATTTGGCTGCAGGCAAAATGGGGTTTATTGGGCCAGATTAGTTTCAATTTGGCTGGTTATTAAGATTCATTAGTCATTTTAAAGACAGTTGCCTGCATTGTCTACAAGCACTGTTTCAACTCACTGCAGTGAAAGGGGAAAATGGGTTGCTTGTTTTTAAAACGGTGACCCTTTTCCTCCAGCAGGTTTAGCAACTTAAAGTTATTTGAGCTCCAGCGTGCTCAGCATTACTACATGTGAATGTCTGTAGAAACGTCTCAAAGCACTTTTGCACCATAGTCCTGGTAATGTTTATTGTGCTTTTAAATTCCATAATGGTTAAATGCACTGCTTCTGTTTGTTCTTTGCAAACATTGCCAGTTTAGTGTATGACAAATGGCATTATTTCAATGTTTGTGTGCAGAAATATCCACACATTAAAGTTTCAGAGGGCTTTATTTCTTTGATGCTTTTAGTGAACAATGACATTGCGAGCTTGTATTGAATTAAGTTGGAAAATGAATGACATCCTCTTGAAACTCAATAGATCCTTTAATGAACCTATTTAAGAAGGGAGGGAGGATGCCAAAATGGATCTCTTGTGAATGTCTGACTCGCTGAAGTGTGTATTAATTTAATTCAGGCAATCAGGTTTTTAGGAGCTACGAAAGTTAGATTCTTATTGGTCCTTCAGTGTCATTGGGGAGGTACTCGTTTGGTCTCACACAACCACATTAAAGTACAATAAGGACTCCTTCAGAAGATGGTGTGCCCCCCTGGTCTTAACAGCATGAAGTACAAAGGAACACTGAGAAGGTCTGAAGATGCTTTGGAACAATCATCCTCCAAAGTACCTTGAAAAACTGTAAATTTACCTTTTTGTTGAAGAAAAAAAAAAAAAGGAATCTATTTTTAATAAAAGTTGAGTAAAGAGGAAAAAAATCACTGATAAATTAAAAAAAACATGCTGTAAAAACAATGCCTCGGATGTTTTCACAGGTCATTTCTGGTGTTTAGTATGCTGACTGTTTATGCGATCTGTTTTCTGTGTATAGACGTGCTTTTATTCAAACAGTTCTCATTGCTCATTTCTGTTTTACAGTCATGCTACAGCCCTTTGACTATGACCCCAATGAGAAAAGTAAACACAAATTCATGGTGCAGACGATTTTCGCCCCGCCAAACGTCACCGACATGGAATCATTGGTAAGTGACTGGGATTTACTTTTGAACCCATTATTTTGCTTCTAATGTTGCAGCGAATAACACAGAAGTGTACCTTTGGTTACGTAGCTCCGAAGTCATTTAAATGTGTCAAAGTGGAAGCATGTCTATAGTATTTGCACAAACAAAACAGTAAACCTTACTAGTTAAAATCTGTTGAACTGAATAGTTTTTAATACTTATTGAATTCTTTCACATAAAACAGTTGATCAGCTTAAAAAAAAAAAATCCCCATTTAAATGTTTTGTCTTTCTTCCACATTTCCTTTTATATGTAAAAACAAACATTACTGTTCGGTCTTTATTGGTAAAAGGAGCCCTATGCATTCCAGTATCACATGCACATGACTTGTGCTTTAAAATATTAACTTGATTGACTCAATGAAAACATTTCATGTATGATATTTGATAGTAGAAAGTCTTTTACTGTTAAACTTTAAGTTGAAGGGTTATCGTCATCTGCCGAGTTAATTTCCTTACTCTGAAGCATTTTCCAGTTATCCACCAGGGGACAGCAGAGACTCGGTCAGCCAGTAAAACCTGTACATACCTTGTCATTGTATTCATGAACGGACTTGTTTTGAATGAGGTTTAAAATTCAGGAAGTATAGTATAGACAAACCGAGGTCTGACTGGTGCTGATGTATAAAATGGAGTCTCATGTTGTGAATTAATCTTTTGTTTCTTTTCTATTTTATCGTCTGTACTATACTTTTCTACTTTATTTCTTTATAAATTCAGAGTCTAGGTGATGCCATTTTGAAATATGCTGAAAATAGTTCAAATAAACAGAAATAAAAGGAAATGAAGCTGCGCCTGTGTTATATAGATTTAAGGCTAAATTGCTTGTACATACAATGTGAAGTAGTTGGCACAGTTTTAATGTGTGCATGTGTGAACAAAATCTAATCTGCTAGAAGTTCAAGTTGATGAATAACATGCTTTCATTTGTTTTTAAATCCTCACTAGTGGAAAGATGCAAAGCCAGATGATCTCATGGACTCCAAGCTGAGATGTGTCTTTGAGCTGCCATCTGAAAATGATAAAGTGGTAAGGTGCAATGATCAGAGTCCCTCCTTGAACTGGATATGCGCTACTAAAAACTCTAGAAAAATAAAAATTGTCTGGCATAGTGTTAGCATGACATTCCTGTGTCGAGAGCAGAGTGTAAGATCTCTGCAGCATCTTGCAGCTAAAACAATGTTCAGCAACTAGGTGCAGTTAGAATAGTAGTGTGATGATTTACAGGCTGAGACACTGCCCATGGAGCAGTGGTTCTATATGCTTCTGAAACTATGTCAGGTTGGTAAAGAGGATGAAGCTTAAATGGGTCAGATTAGGGCTGTGCGATATGAAATTCAAATTTGAAATTTGAATTTGAATTTGACCAAAATCTCATATCCCGATATAAGACATCTATCGTTCTGATAACGATATAAATCACAAAAATTTAAAATTTTCTGTGAATCTCGGGCAGCTCGACTTGCGTGAAGTGTTTCCAGCTGCGCGTCATGTACCTGGAGTCGAGTGTTTTAACGATGTATGAAACTAGACATTTTTAGACATAAGTTGTAACGGCCGCCGTTTTCTTTGTAAGTATTTATTACACGGCGTGCTGCGGGGGAAAGCCTGTTCTAACGTTTGAGTCTAAGGTTTATTTTTTTAGCACCTGACGGCTCTTTTCTTGCTTCTCATCCGTAAATACTCTGCATACTCTTTCACGTGGTTCAGTTTATTTTGAAAAGTCTTAACAGGATCTTGAGCTTTATTGTGAAAGGTTTATGTGGAAAATAAACACGCAGACACGCGATGGTTTTACCCTTATTGTTGCTAACGACAATACATAAAAACAGGCGCTTGTTCGTCAGTAGTGTGGTTATATTAATTATAAGAGAAAGAGAACTATAAGAAATTAATATAGCCACTACAGTGACCATCAAAACGATGAAAAAATATTGCCGTAAACAGTTTATTTGTGACACCATGAAACAAACGATAGCGTAAAATGAAACGATAGACGTTTTTATATCGTCATCCGATATATATCGAACAGCCCTAGGTCAGATCAATACTGCAACGTAGCCAGAAAACCAAAAAACTGCGAGTGAACGGATTCTGATTATCTGACTGATAGCAGGTTTTACTCTTTCACAGCTAATCAGTGTTGACTGATTAAATAAGTTATATTTTGTAGCACCAGTGTACTCTCCCTGTACTATTCAGCAAAAAACAAAAAGCTTTTAACTTTTTGTCTCTGAGAAGTTATTTGTAAAAGTAGCCATAGCTGAAATCTCTGTGCACGCAGTTATTTTTATATCGTGATATTTACTCGGATGATATTCTCAGTTTTAAATGCCCTGAATGTCTTATTTTTCTCTCGTGTACTCTCAGGCACTACTATATGATACTGAACAAGCATCTGGCATCTGTAGGACTTGTACTCTCTGTTCCACAAGTTCTTTTTGTAGCTGAAGGGAGTTCTTTATGAATGAATTGAGGACCGATCAGGCCACGTGCCTCCTGGATTGTACTGTGTGAGTGTTTAAAATATGGAACCTATTCACAGAGTACCGAAGGTCATCTTCTGCTTACAGGAACATCTTAGCGTGGGTCATGCCAGCCTTGTGTCAATGAAAATATCCCTAAACTATTTATTGAAAACTTGGGAAATCTGTGCTGCTTAACTCCACATAAAAGTAATCAGAACCTGAAGTCTCTCCTAAAATACATTAATTAATACATTAATTGTGTTGTGCTCTATTGCCAGTTTTCCAAACTTTGAAAAATTCATTTTGTTGCCCAGATCAGTGAAACCACCGACTGTTATGTAAATGTACCTTCTGGTAGCTCCAGGTGTTGGCAGTGACAGCAGTTGTGTGCACCATGTATCAGGATGTAGCAGGTCGCACAAAGAGAAAGACACAGCAACGTGTTTTACTGTCACACCTCTCTACTTAAATAAAGACCAAAGGGACATGTGTAAGCAATACTGACGTTCCTGAGCATAGGAGAAATGTCATATGGAAATGTTTAATTACTAGATGTGTATATATATATATTTTTTTAGCATGCATCAAATTCTTGTGGCCCACAAGAATCGTGGCTCGTCAGTGCGTTTTGCATTTCAACAGCTAACTTTGTCTTCGCTGCTGATGTGAAACACTGTGAATAACAAAGGCAGCTCTAACTTTTTTTTGTAAGGTGAGAAAAGGTGAAAGCTTTAATGAAAAAGATGTTAGTGTAGCTTAGTGCCTCCACTGTATGTCCTAATAATTTAAAGAGAAGTTCAGACTTTTTTTTTGTTTTTGTTTTTTTTTTGTTTTGTTTTTGTTACAGAGTTACCTAGGTTAGTTAGGTTTTGTGTGTGTGTGTGGTCCCCCAATATATAAGTAACTCCTCTGCAGCCTCACATTAGGTCATTTTTAAGACTTAAAAAAATAAATTCAGTTTGTGTACGATCAGTCATCCTTGTTTTCATTGCTTATCTGAGCCTTAGTAGGCCTCGTTATAAATGCCTGACTTGTGGGAACGATATGATGTCCAGAGGGTTTTATTTGTTACCCTCCAGGAAGATAGCCAGGACTGTGATTTGAATTTTAATGTAGTTTTATTTACTCAAGCTTGAAATATGTTTTTGTTTAACAAATGGCCCAGAATGATCAGGATAAGCTTCTGTTAAGTACTCAATGCCTTAACTATGTGCTGGCCAATCATCCTCAAGAGCGTAGTCACTCCCTAAAGGTCTGCTTTTGAGCCAGGAAAAACCCAGATCCTGCCCTCGTACTGATTGTCAACGTTCATCTGCTACTATGCAGCA